AGTTTGTATGCAAACTGGGCTACTGTTTGACTTTTGACGGAGAAGACTCACCATCATTTGGAAAATCAAAAACTGATGAATTAGCACAAAACCTAAATGAGCGAAACGATAAAGCATTGTCAATCCTGTATTGAATCCAATATAAGTATTGGAAACGAAATACTAACTATTCATGGGATACATATGAACATCTAGACGGTGCTTATTGTGCGTTAACTCATTAGTTGGCGAACTCTTTAATCCATTACATTACATGGATGTGAATGAGTACTACAGACATAATGTATGATATGGATACGTTTGTGGAATGGAAACTGCAGAAGATTTGCATTCAGTTTTGTTCAATGATTGTAGTGATGGTGAAAGTGAAGGACATGAGTTGCTATAATATGTTGAAGATATAAGTGATGTTCATTTATGATAATCAGTTCTCCCATCAACTCAACAAAAAAGAAGAAAAAAACATTGCAAGATTGATGTTCAGTTTGACCATCTATTAAGATACATATCAATTATTTGACAGTGACTGAAATAAATATTGACTTATAATAGTAAGATGATGCAAAGTGATGAAATAGACTTTTAACAGAACAGCAAACACGTGAAACCCAAATGCAAAAAAAGAAGAACCAACAAACACATAACACGTGTAGCATGTTTGACAAGTGGTGAAATGGCAGAAGAATACGGCTCTATGTAACTCGCCTTGTAATAGCTCGCCTTGTAAAACATATGCTCTTCGAATGACTAAGAACCGCTTCTGTGGTACTAAATGGCATTTCATAAAGAAGATGATTATGACACAAAAGAAACACAACGGGGAAGAAGAAAGAACACACGCGTAAAACCTTGTAAATGGTGAAGTAAGCGACAGTGACAGTGATAGCATCGTATCAGAGATGCCACATACAGGCAACATTCATGGTAAAAGCTTGAAACCTCACAAATACAAACCTTGTAAAACATATTTTATAAGTTTAGCGGGATTTTGCTTATATGGGTGGGCTTGCGTGGTGTTGCTTGTTGTGCTTGTGTGATGCGTTTGTTGCGTGTTGATGAGTTATGGTGTCATTCGGCTTTGTGTTGTAGTGTTTGGCGTCTGGGAGTTCCTCAAATTCCCAGCAACAACCCACCACAAGCCCTCAACCCAGCGCATGTCTCGGAGCCAAAACCGTCAGTACTCGGTGCACAGGGTGCGTGCGCTGGGTGCGTACTCGGTGCACTGTGTGCGTAATCGGTGCACTGGGCGCTTACTGAGTGCACTCGGTGAGTACTCGGTGCACTCGGTGCACTTTGGGCATGGCATACTCGGTGCACTCGGCGCAAACTCAGTGCACTTGGCACGAACTCGACGCAATCGGTGCGTACCCGGTGCACTCAGTGCAGGTTGCGCATACTCGGTGCACTCGGTGCAAACTCAGTGAACCTGGCGCGTACTCGGTGCACTCGGTGCAAACTCAGTGCACTTGGCGCGTACTCGGCGCAATCGGTTCTTACCCGGTGCACTCGGTGCGTTCTCGCTGCACTCGGTGCACTCGGTGCGTACTCCGTGCACTCGATGCACTTTGCGCATACTCGGTGCACTCGGTGCGTACTCGGTTCATTCGGTGCACTTTGCGCATACTCGGTGCCCTCGATGCGTAGTCGGTGCACTCAGTTTGTACTCAGTGCACTCGGTGCGTACTCGGTGCACTCGATGCACTTTGCGCATACTCGGTGAAATTGGTGCGACTCGGTGCACTCAGTCAACTTTGCGAATACTCGGTGCACTTGGTGCGAGGTTGTGCCCAAAACACCGGCCAGACTCGTCGGGCGCCAAAACACCCGCCCGCATCTGGCAGCAGGTGCCCAAAACACTCCGACCAGACACCAAAAACACCGGGAAGATAAAAACAGAAACCCAAAACACGCAAACCATCCCGAAAAGCCCTCCTGACCACAGAAACACCGAAACAAAAGCTAAAAACACCCTACCCCTTGGTGTGTACTCGGTGCACTCGGTGCGTACTCGGTGCCCTCGGCGCGCGTACTCGGTGCACCGGGTGCGTACTCGGTGCTCTTGGTGCTTACTCGGTGCGCTCCTTGCCTACTCGGCGTATTCGGGCACTCGGTGCGCACTTGGTGCACTTGGTGCACTTGGTGCACTTGGTACGTACTCGGTGCACTCGGTGCGTGCTCGGTGCGTGCTCGGTGCGTGCTCGGTGCGTGCTCGGTGCGTCCTCGTTGCTGCACCGAGTACGCACCGAGTACGTGCCGAGTGCACCGAGCACGCCCGAGTGCACCGAGTACGCTTCATTGCGCCGAGTACGCACTCAGTGCACCGAGTGCACCGAGTACGCAGCGAGTGCACCAAGTGTATCGAGTAACTCGGTGCACTCGGTGCACTCCGGTGCACTCGGCGATTTCTCGGTCCTCTCGGCGCATCCTCGGTGCACTTGGTGCGTACTCAGTGCACGGTACGTACTCGGTGACTTGGCGCGTACTCGGCGCACTCGGTGCGTACTCGGTGCACTCGGTGCACTTGGTGCACTCTGTGCGTGCTCAGTGCGCAGTCGCTCATCGCGGCCGCAATGAAATCTGTTGTAAGACTTGGGTCAATCTGAGCATCCAACGTTTTGTGTTTGATTGTTTGTTGTTGTTCTGAATGGCCCCCTAGACTGCTATGTTTCTGCTGTACTCGAAGCCCGGCTTACTATCTGTGATGTTCCTCGCGCGCATGACCTGGACCTGAACCAAGCAAAACCCTAGCCGACACGTCCATGAACCCTGCCTGGAGTTGGAAGACTTTGTTCTAACTCGAACTTATTCCTTTCCAACTTTGTGCGGGCAGGGAGTTTTTCCAACTTGGGCAGTGTTGTTGGTCTTTTTTTTGCCATTTCGGGCAGGGTTTTACCACATCGGGCAGCGGGACGCTCTTTTTTTGTTCGCCACGAAAAAATCACGCAAAGACAAGATGGCCAAAGCGCATCATTTCCACGTGACAGGGTATCTTCAAAATTGAGGAACCTCTGGATACTTTTTTTGAGGGGAAGCTAAAAGGAAGCCACCCGACGCGCCCCCATTCCGAAGAATTCACAAGCTGGAAATTAGGCATCCCCACAAAAGAACGCTCTCATTGTGATCTGCCCATATTTTGTGGAAGGCCCATGCCATGCAGTTCAATTGAGGAAGGGACCCTTTGGCGAACATCACAAAAACAGGGAGGGATGTATGTCCACCCATTTGGAAAGGCACGCCCCGTCAAAAACTCAAAGCCATGCAACCCCTCACAAACATCTTTCTTCCCTATGCACAGGATAAGTTGGTTCAATAGCACCCCACCGCCCAAACTCATCTTCGCAGGGTTCTCAAACTGGTTTGTTCTCTACAAGTCTCAGTTGTTCAGTGACCCTGGAAAAAGAAGGGAACCCTTTTTGGGGAAGACCATTTTTAGTGGGGCAGCCAAAAAAACTGGAAAAAGGGTGCCACTGAACAACTGAGATGTTCTTGGTTGGCATGTTTCGAAAAAGCCATTCCCAAAACCACACCGAGGCGGCCGAACACCCCAATCCAAATCCGCTCCCCTCCCCGACTCGGCCGAGGCTCTCAGCTGAGACTCCATGGCCTGTGTTCACCGGAACCGCCTCGGCGCCCTTGGGGATTCCCAGAAACCCGGAGGACACCCGGAGGACACCTGGGCTTTGGAAAATGCGCGGCTTCTGTCCTACAAACAAATGTGCAGGGCTCCTTGGGCTCACATCACGTGCATCGATTCATGCGCCTGCACCAAAAAGTGAGAGGCTGTACCGATGCCGAAAAGTGAATGAGTACAAGCGAAGGTGAACAAGACCTGTCTGAGAATCAACCCCAGAAATGATTCAACATTCCAAAGCGAGGCGGCCATGTCGGTCACATTTTGTCTCACAGGTGCTGTTCTTTAGCACGAGCTACGGGCCATTCACAGTTTACTTTGTCAAACGGGCGTTATGTGAGGCCTTTCACTGCCCAGTTCTCTGCATTCCGGCTGTCTTCGACAGTGCCCCTGCCCGTGAGTACACTGCCGTGTCTCGCCGACATGGACGGCCATAATACTCAAAATACTACCTCCCCATCGCGCGATGCCCGTCTGAATGACTTGCTAAGACGCTGCAAAGAAGCCTCACCTTTGCCAAAAAAAGCGTGGCGGGCGCCAAAAACGCGACCGGTTGACATTTTCAAAAAAATGCTAAGGTCCCCATCTTCATTTGCAGGCCAGCAAAAGGAGCTGGGGGGATCCCAATTGAGGCACCCCCAATCCCACATTCGGAGCATGAGGCTGGGCTCCCTCGCGAATGTCACGTACTACAAAAAGAAGGCTTATCAGGCCGCGGCTTGAGCCGGACAGCTGAAGACGACACAAGGGCTCTGCAAAAACGTGGTTGTGTGGAAACCCGAGGTTTCCTCTGGGTAGAATCTTGAAGGGAACCCTGGACGAAATTGTATGCATCACCTGGCTGTGGGTCAAAAATGGGTATCCATTTTGGAACCTAGAAAATGGAACCAGGGACTAAAACCTGCGGTCCCCTGGTGCTTTCATTTTGACCGATACACATCCAACCTCGGGAGGTTTCACATCTGGGTCGGACCAAACCCAAGGCGCAGCTGCGAGACCAGTGCTGGAGGTGCCCATTGGGGTCAAAACTCGGGATCTCTCCGACTGGCTTCAGAATGTTTCCCCTTGACCTTCCCCAGGATCCCTGGCTGTACAACAAGCCGCCTATGGCGTAAAACTCCAAATCAGAATATAACTGGTAAGTGGAAAAATCAGCCTCTGGACAAAATATGGGTTCTGATACCATGTCCAAAGAGATCAGCGATGCCCGGCAAAACCAATGAACTTGTGTCATCCTAGTCGCGTCCCGTGTGCCTCCCTCGCACACGCCCCATGCCTTTGTTGCACCTATCAAACCAACCCAGCCAAAGCCGCCACAACGCCACAAACCACACCACACCAACTCCCCGCGTCCTTCCGCACCCCGCGCCTTGAGCTCGCAGCGCTCCTTGGGGTTCTTGGACAGGAGGTCCCGGATCTCCTCGAGATCCAATGGCTCGGGGCCATAAAAGTACGTCCCAAAGATAAACAGGGGAGCCGGCGTAAGCTCAAATTTCCCGTTTGGTAAATATGTTGTTTTATCGATGGACGAGGCATCTTGCAACACTCATTGAATATGCGTTCATATTTTTAGCATGGTTGTTGTATCGCGGCGTTTAACCCGTTCATTTTGTATAATTGCAGATTTGCTAGGGCCCAATCGGCCGAACCGACGATGATTAGACGATATGAGTGACCAAAGGATCTCAATAAATCAATCAATGTGTGCATCACGTTTTTTTGTCCGGGTTCCTCCAGCGACACGTGCATCAAATTGGGACCCGGAACACCGGGGATCTGTAAATCGGGTGTCCATTTAGAGGGTTCGACTTAACTCGATTGAAGGGGTGGTCAAAATGATGCTTGCTCGGAAGTGAACAGGAAGCCCCTAGGAGGCTGAGGTGTTTTTTTTGCGTAGCCCTGGCATTAGCCTAACCCTGGCACAGCCTGCAATACCAGCCTTTGTTCCAACATCCTCAGCATCGCCAGTCTTTGTTCCAACATCCTCAGCATGACCAGGCTTTGGGGTTCAGATGGGTTCCTGGTTGAACACTGCTTGCTGAGAGCAAATTTGTGGGTTTGAGATGGGTGCCAGGGTAGGATTCAACATCAGCAAAACACTGTAGATGCAGTGCAAATCGCCCCCGGTAGACGCCAGCTCGCCAACGTCACCAGCATCCCCAGCATTCCCGCATCACCAGCATTTGGGCTTCCCAGCATCCCTTGCTTCCCTTGCATCCCCTGCATCACTCAAACCCTCCAAAAAAGACTCCAGGTTCAGTGACAAGAGATCATGTGCGTATTTCTTCGGCCCCTTAAGCCTTCGAAAGTGGGCGAGCGAAGGCTTTCAGTCGATTTCCGTCCGTGACCGTTGCAAGGTGCTCTTCAAAGAGTTAGGGAGGCTTGGCGCTGCGCGCGGAAAACGTGCGAACCCCGCAGAGCGGAAAAAAAAAACAAATGTGCGGAAAAACAAAGCACAGTCTCTGCGGAAAAAGCGGACCCCTCCTGGGGGCCGTGATGAAGGTTGTCTTGAAAATCCGCTTTTCGAGCTGGAATCCGGCATTCCAGCTCGAAAAGCGGATCCCCAGCCAATCCCTCCTGAAAGGGGGCCGTGGTTGTCTTGGGGATCCGCTTTTCGAGCTGGAATCCGGCATTCCAGCTCGAAAAGCGGATCCCCGGCCAATCCCTCCTGAAAGGGGGCCGTGATGAAGGTTGTCTTGGGGATCCGCTTTTCGACCTGGAATCCGGCATCCAGCTCGAAAAGCGGATCCCCGGCCAATCCCTCCTGAAAAGGGGGCCGTGATGAAGGTTGTCTTGGGGATCCGCTTTTCGAGCTGGAATCCGGCATTCCAGCTCGAAAAGCGGATCCCCAGCCAATCCCTCCTGAAAGGGGGCCGTGATGAAGGTTGTCTTGGGGATCCGCTTTTCGAGCTGGAATCCGGCACTCCAGCTCGAAAAAGGGATCCCCAGCCAATCCCTCCTGAACGTGATGAAGGTTGTCGAGCTGGAATCCGGCAATCCAGCTCGAAAAGCGGATCCCCAGCCAATCCCTCCTGAAAGGGGGCCGTGATGAAGGTTGTCTTGGGGATCCGCTTTTCGAGCTGGAATCCGGCATTCCAGCTCGAAAAGCGGATCCCCAGCCAATCCCTCCTGAAAAGGGGGCCGTGATGAAGGTTGTCTTGGGGATCCGCTTTTCGAGCTGGAATCCGGCATTCCAGCTCGAAAAGCGGATCCCCGGCCAATAAGCGGATCCCCGGCCAATCCCTCCTGAAAGGGGGCCGTGATGAAGGTTGTCTTCTTGGGAATCCGGCATTCCAGCTCGAAAAGCGGATCCCCGGCCAATCCCTCCTGAAAGGGGGCCGTGATGAAGGTTGTCTTGGGGATCCGCTTTTCGAGCTGGAATCCGGCATTCCAGCTCGAAAAGCGGATCCCCAGCCAATCCCTCCTGAAAAGGGGGCCGTGATGAAGGTTGTCTTGGGGATCCGCTTTTCGAGCTGGAATCCGGCATTCCGATCCCCGGCCAATCCCTCCTGAAAGGGGGCCGCGATGAAGGTTGTCTTGCGGATCCGCTTTTCGAGCTGGAATCCGGCATTCCAGCTCGAAAAGCGGGTCCCCGGCCAATCCCTCCTGAAAGGGGGCCGTGATGAAGGTTGTCTTGGGGATCCGCTTTTCGAGCTGGAATCCGGCATTCCAGCTCGAAAAGCGGATGCCCAGCCAATCCCTCCTGAAAAGGGGGCCGTGATGAAGGTTCCTTAGCAAGGAGCCTTAGAAAGGAGCCTTAGAAAGGAGCCTTAGAAAGGAGCCTTAGAAAGGAGCCGTAGAAAGGAGCCGTAGAAAGGAGCCATAGAAAGGAGCCTTAGAAAGGAGCCTTAGAAAGGAGCAGTTGCTTCCTACCCCTATACTTTTCCGCGTGTAGTGGCTTCACTTCCGTAAGCAGTGACAGTTTCACTTCCGTAAGCAGTGACACCTTTTCCGCTCAGAGTGATCATGATTCCGCAAGATGTGACAAGTCTTAAGAGTTAGGATTAGAAGCAACAAAACAGCTGAATGAGCAAATCTATGGACAACGAACAAAATTAGAGCAACAACAAAAATGAAAATAAATAACCCACCACAACCCGCCAATGGATAAACGACTACAAAACAGCAGCCATTACCCTCATTGCCGTGGGAGGCATGTCCACAAGGGTGAAAGGCACTACAAAAACCTCCCCTGTACGAGGGTTGCCCGACCTAAGTGTTTGATCGAGGGCATGGAAACAGCACAAGACTTCGAGCCGGTTGTTTGCGCTGCAACCTGGCAGTATCCCTTGGTGCTCTTGTCAAGCAACCCCACAAAAATGAGAAGACTGTTTAAAAAAGAAAGTAGCAATACTAATAGTTATAGTACTAGTACTAGTACCAGTATTAGTACTATTGATACCAATAGCAGTAGCAATACCAATAGTAATAGCAATAGTAATGAAAATATATATGCTAACAGTAAGAGTAATAGTAATGGCAACGGTAATAATAACACTTATAATAACACTTATCAATAATCATAATGAGTATAATAATAGTAATAATAATGATACTAGTAACACACATATAAAAAAAATAAATAAATAAAAAAAAAAAAAAAAAAAAAAACATGACAAAGACACATCCAAATGGGTTCAGCCCTCCAGCGGCTGGGTTTGGCCCCTGCCATGGTGCCCGGTGTCGCCTCGTTGTAGATCTCCAGGTAGGAACCCCGAACCAGATACCTCGATGTGTTCGGTTTTGTTCTTGGTTGCTGTTGACCCCCCTGCAAAAAGTTGAACCTTTTGGGGGGTGTAATGCAAAACCCCTTGATTTCCCAAAAAGTTAAAGTCTAAAGATCCTACCCAATAGCAGTCAAGTGTGTGGCAACCAACGAATCGTTTGGGGAAGTGCAAACCGTTTGAGGCGAACCCAAGGAGACCTTTCTCAGGTAAACGCTTCAAGTCCTATTGGACACACCCATGATAAAGGTCCTGATGGAGGAAACCTTCGGCGGTGGTTTGCTCTTTGACCGTTTAACATAAGCCCAAATGTTGGATGCCGCCAAACAAGCAACTCCCTATGTTTGGTACCAGCAATATAGTAATTCAGGGCCGCCGCCAGAGAGCCATGGCAGCGACAAATGATCAACTGATCCGTCGCCCTCCGGAGAAAATGTCTCTGAGTCCTTGAGGCCCCAATCTACCATCAAAAGCCCTGAAGGAACACGACCGCCTCGTCGGTGCAAAAGGAAACCCTCGTCGGCTTGTAAGTCAATACGTGCTTGTGCCTCACGTTTTGTACGCACAGGGCAACCTGTCGAAAGTTGGGTGCCCGGTTCTGTTACGCCATCTACACCTAACCTGATCGCCAATAGCCATTGCAAGGTCCAGAGAGCCCGGGCTCCCGACACTCTCACAAGCCTAGACAGTTTTCAACACCTGGTCCAGGTAGCGATGTTTGGCAACGCTTGGAGAAGATGAACGGCTGATATCGCCAGGCACCCCTGCCTTTGGCTTCAGCAAAACATGTGCTCATACACGGACTCTTGCATGGTGCGGCTGTGTCCACTGTTGGATTTTGATGGGATGCCGCAAGGAAAGCTTCCGACCGTTTTTTTTTTTGGGGGGGGGCATTGTTGGCCGAAAAATCTGAAGCGGTTCGGACAGCCTTGTCGCCTCACTGAGGGATGTGTCACTTGGCCCCGCGCGTGGTGTCTTGTGAAGTGATGTCCTTAGAGCAAATTGCATGCCTGCAGCTGACGTAAACTGTTACAGGACACCCAGGGCCACTGGGGAAACCCCCATTGGTTTTCCCCCCAGAGAAGGTATAAGCACAGCGAAGTCCTATCGATCCTGAGCCGCCGATGAGAACGCCCAGAGCTCCGGAACAAAGGTCATGATGAAAAGAAACATAGGGACACACCGACCCCTCGGTTCACGAATTCGTAGACTTCAAACTGGCCCTGTAAGCTCGCCATTCGGGAAAAGCCGGCAGCCTTCAAATGGGCAAGCTTGCCAGATGGCTCAAAGCTTCTCTCGAAATGGACCCCCTTTTGGTTGGCATTGCAAGGGAACCCAAAAGCAACACCCAGCCATTCTTTTGGCGACCGCTCCCTATGAGAAGCACCCAACTGCCGCCCGCCCGCACGTGGGGCGAACATCTCAGCGTCCCGGCGATGTTGGTGAAGATGTGCTGGAAGGAGCGCGGCAGCAGGCCTGCGGCCAGGTCCGCGACGGCACGGACCCACAAATCCCTCAAAACACCTCGTGAAGGGGAGCTGTCATGGTGCTGGGAAGAGGGGTGTGTTTTTGAGGGTGCACTTTTTCACCTCAGAAGGAAACAAAACAAAAACCCACATTGTTGATATTTTAGCACATGCCCATGAACTTAATTCGCCAACCCAAGAATGAGAGATCCCCATGAAAGAAACCTTCACGGGTCATGTCGCAAACCCCCCCGAACCGTGACGGTGTCGTTCTCCTGCCCCATGGATCTTCAATCTTGACATATCCCCGGCCGTCCGCAGACCGGAAACTGGTGCTATCTGGGCTTTCCAAGATCTGGGCTTCAGAACAGCTTCCAAACGATTGGACAACCATCACTCCCTGTCAGCCTGTCAGCCTGTCAGCTGTCAGTTGGGAAGACGCCACCAAGGTCCAAGTTTTGAAGCTCTGCCTTGGGGCCAGCTTTCCCGCCCGTCAACACAACTGCGTGCTCCCAACCTTGACTGAAGCCGCGCGGTCTACTTGTAGCGTGAATTGGTCAGTCAAACCGCCGAGACAAATCCTCAAAAAACCACCCACCCCAACATCCCCCTCACAGCTGACAGGGGGCGGGCTTGGAAACAAGTTGCCCTCCCCCCCTCCCCCCCCTTAGGGCGCGCCTTGCAGCTCCGACGCGCCCCCCACCGGCCCCGTCATGGTGTGGGACTTCCCGGCCCCCGTCTGCCCATAGGCGAAGATGGTGCCGTTGAAGCCTCCCGCGCTGAAGAACTCCGCCCGAAAGAAGCCAACCCAAAGGCACTTGACCGTTGCGGACAAAGAGAGAAGAAAGGTAAACTGGGGGGTGAAAACCTATAGGAGGTGAACTTCATCTGGCTACTCTTTGGTCGTTATGTATGCGGGCATTTCTGTCCAAGCATTTGCGAAGGTCCCATTAAAGTGCAAAGCCAAAAGAATGTGTCAACAATTCGGGTCCCTTGTTTGGGACTTGAACGGAAACTCCATGAAACCAACCATTTGGGGGGATCTGGGATCGTGCTGACACATAAGGAATTGGGGAAGCTGCAACAAATGCTTGATTATGTTTTGCCCGCGGCGTGTCTGGAGATAGCTGTTGACAGAAAGCCAAGCCTGCGAGAACTGCCGCTTGTTCCACCGAAAAACAGGTGCTCTGCAAAACTGACAATCTGATACCTCGGAGGCAGCACCTTCTAACTCGGTGGTAAAAATCTGCGTGAACCCATGCTTTTTCTGACACTTGGCGGGTCTTGCCGCTGCTTGATTGGACATGTTTTTGAAGAACCGGGCGACATGCTGACCCAGAAGTGTGCGCAACATAATCCCAACCGCGATGTCCACGATCACTGCGTCCTAGGTGTCAAAACTGGAGACCCTTTTGGAGGCGGTATCTTAAGTAAAGTGAATCCAAGATATCTTTGCACTCCTAAACTTGGGCACGCGAGCCCAAATGAGGACCTGCACAAGTTTGAACTTACACACAACACACATTCCTGCACTCCGCTCGTGCGGCCTTTTAAAGGTCATGTTGAAGCAAAGAAGGAGTGTCAAAAAGGGGGTGCCTGGGGGAAGAATTGTCTTTGAAACAGCAATATACAAAATAAAATCGGCGGTTTTCTGAGGTTTTGCGTCCTAAGTCCTAAAGCCGGCCGCTTTTCTGATCGCTGTTGGTGCGGTTACAAAGGGCCGCTCTCGCGCAGAAACTCGCAAACCTGTAGCTCCTCCCCCTTGGTCACGAGTCGGCGGCAGCTCTCTCTCAGCATCCCGGCCATCCATGACGCTGTCCAAGATGTCCGCGGCTGTGTCGTCAAAGATCTGGCAACATCAAGTCAAGGTGCTGTTGTCTGCCAACTTGAGGTTGGTCGAAGCGGCGAGAGAGAGAGAGAGAGACTTGTTTTCTCACAAAAACGAAAAAATAAAGAAACCTATCAAGGAAATTATGAAAGAAATAAAGAATGAAATAACAGAAAGACATGAAGTAAAGAAAAAAGAAAGAAAGAAAGAAAGAAAGAAAGAAAGAAAGAAAGAAAGAAAGAAAGGAAGAAAGAAAGAAAGAAAGAAAGAAGGAAAGGAAGAAAGAAAGAAAGAAAGAAGGAAAGAAGGAAAGAAACGGAGGAAGAAAGGAAGGAAGGAAAGAACAAATGGCGCAATCTTGTTTCAACAATGTGGTTGAGTCCGTTGGCTGGCCGTAGCCTTTTGGACAGGTTCTCGGACACATTCAAGTAGCAAGAATCGAGCACGGCAAGGCATCATCCACTTTTGTCATGTCAAAGATATATGTGCCAATGGTTTCTCAGGCTTGCGGAGCCCAATACAACAACTCTGACACGAGCCGAAGAGAACCACCCGAAAAAAGTACGCGGGGCAGAAGTGTTCCACCTTCCGAGCGACTACCTTCTCAGCTGGCAGCTCCAAGCGCCCAAAACCGAGAAATCCATCGTGGACCATCGCAGAGTTTGCAACACTCTAGGGGTTGATTCCTCATTCTTTAAGGGGACCTGTGGGTGTATTCCCTCATCCCCTACTGAGCACCAGCAAGATTCTAGGGGTTGATTTCTTTTCCATTCTTTTCAACCATCGTTATTTTCAAGAACCAGCTGCTTTCCCAGGGTTTTTGGTGGTTTTCTAGAAAGAAGGATCCCTGGAAAGAATGGGGAAGCTACCCTTACAAACACCAGTCTGCCCCTTTGCCCCAACTCCTCAACGCAACACCCCAACACCCCAACAGCCCAACAAACAGAAACACATCCCTCCCAGCCCGAGACGAGAAAACCCCCGCCTGCTGTTGAGTCATCTGTTCGTTGAAAACGGCATCGAAGGTGAAGTCCTGGCACAGGCGGCGTTCCAAGAGTTTCTACATGGGTGTGTCTCAAAATCGGGGAACCCACAAGGTGCTTGGTGTCCTTTTGGTTTCCCTTCAAACCAACCTTCCAAAAGGGTAAACAGCATGTTGGGAACCTGCTGAAACATGGCCCCGTGTACTTCGGATTCGTATAGATGACATGCCCGCTTGCTTATTTGTTTCTTCTTATTTCTGTACTTGTTTCCTTCCTCCCTTCTTGCATTCTTGTTTTCCTTGATTCTTTCTTTCCTTATTTCTGTATTTGTTAAATTCTGCCTAAATTGTCTTTCTTTCCTTTGTGATTTGTTTGTCCTCTGTTTGGGCCCTTCTTTCTTTATTTGTTTATTTCTTTCTTTGTTTCTTTCTTCCTTCCTTCCTTCCTTCCTTCCTTCCTTCCTTCCTTCCTGTCTTTCCTTCCTGTCTTTCCTTCTTTCTGTCTTTCTTTCTTTCGTTCGTTCGTGCCTTCGTTCGTTCTTTCTTTCTGTTCTCTCTGTATGTATTTGTTGCTTATTGCTTTGTTTATTGATTTATTTAGTGATTACTTATTTATTGGTTTGTTTGTGTGGGTATTTCTTTACTTATTTATTTCTTGCTGTGTTTTCTTTATGTTTTTTATTTCTTTCTTTTTTTCTTTCCTTCCTTCCTTCCTTCCTTCTTTCTTTATTTCGTTCTTTCTTTCTTTCTTTCTTTCTTTCGTTCTTTCGTTCTTTCTTTCTTTCTTTCCTATTTTCCAATTTTGTTTCCTTCCTTTATTTATGTCTTTTGTTTTCTTTTCTTTTCTTTCCTTCTTTCCTTCTGTCTTTCTTTCTTCCTTCATTTTTGTTCTTGCTTTGCTTGCGTGTCTGCTTGTTTTGTTGGTTTGATTTGACCTACTTTGCGTTTTGTCTTCTCTTGCCTAGGCTTGCGTTGTCTCGTCTTGTCTTTCTGCCTGCTTGCTTGGTTGTCTGTGTGTGTCTGTCTCTCTGTCTGTCTGCCTGTCTGTCTCTCTGTCTCTGTCTCTGTCTCTGTCTCTGTCTCTGTCTCTGTCTCTGTCTCCGTCTCTGTCTTTCTCTCTGTCTGTCTGTCTGTCTCTGTCTGTCTGCAGCTGCCTGCCTCTATGTCTCTATTGGGTGCTTGTCTGTTTGCTTGCTTGCTTGCTTGCCTGCCTGCCTGCCCGATTGCTTGCTTGCTTGCGCCGCCCCTCTGCGCTTGCAAGCTGGGGTGTTTCTCAAAATCTGGTCTCGTTTCTGGGTGATTTTGAAGGGATGCCAAGAGAAAACCAAACACCTGCAACGGTCCCGTATTTTGAGAAAGACCCACACCAACATAGTGATACAGGCCAATCCGTGGGCTGGTCACTGACCGATCAACGCCTTCACGCCCGCAAATTTGAGCCACAAACAGGCGTCCCGGTTTAAACATCACCCCACCAAGCCCCTCGCAAACCAAAAGGTGATGTTTCAAAGGGAAGCCCAGGGATTGCGAAGACCAAGAGCTGGTACACCCTAGTCCAAACAAGAAGGTGGTCAAACCAATCCGGTGGGTGGTATGGCTTTTCCACTAAAAGCAAAAAAAACTTGCATGAATGGATATGCCCTAAAAACAGTGGAAGATGGAGATACCACGAAACCCACAAGATTGCCAAAGACAAGAGTCATTCATGCCTTTTCGCGAACTCAAAGCCCCACGCCAAGTGGAGACTGATTCCAGAGGGGTTGTTCTGTACCAAGTGGAAACTGTTTCCAGAAGGGTTGTTCTGTACGGAAGACACACCCACGGAGCCTTCTTCCGTCGTTTAACCCTTCTCCCTGGTGCTTGTCGGTGTTTGTCGGGGATTGCCCAAAAGGACAGCGAACAATACGGGGGAAAACTGGAAAACTGGGTCAGCCATCATCACATGGCTGTGGATCAAACCCTGTACCCCTGATAAAAACATAGTAGGTGGCAAATCTATGACCCATGGCCACATGGTTGTGGGTCAAAAATAGGTACCCAAAATGGAACCTGGTAAATGGAAACATGGACTAAAACCTGCGGTCCAATTCCCGGTGGTTTAGATTTGACCCATGGCCACAGCCCGGCACGGCAAAGCCCCTCTCCCGGGTCGACCCTCGACTGTCGAGGCCTTGGCGTCCCTCTCCGTGCCGCCGGGCCGGTGGAGAATGGCCACGTGCCGCTTCACGTCCTGCGGAGGGGTGCCTAGGAGTCCGGGGGGAGTGGGGTGCGGGGGCGTTTTCTAACCTGGGGATATGCCCGCGATTGTCACTGTTCACTGTGTCCCTAAATCTATCTCACAACTTTTACATCCTTGAAAGATCTCTGCCTGATCCTTGTCTAAAGTTGGTGCGACACTCTGACCCACTCTCACCTCAGAAAGAATATCCGCACAAACAATGCCCATGGCAATGAATCATCGATCGATTGGAAAGGAAGTTGAAATTGTTGGGGTTGCGCATGGGTCGGTCGATTGTATCGTGGTGCTGTTGGAGTTGAATACTCTGACCTTGCAGAAAGGGTCGCCAGCAGCCATCTGGTTGGGTGTGCCTCGCGGGTACCTTCATGCTACTGCTACTGTTGCTGCTTGAGCACCCTTCTTACCCTGCGAATCAAAGGATCCTCACAGTTCGAAAGGGGTTGAACCCCCCCAGCACAAAACACAACGAGACATTAAGACTGTCAAAGAGGAGGGATCCCTTTCTTGTTCAAACATCCAACCCCCAGCCTTCCCCAAACCTTCCTTCACTTCCACTTCCCTTGCGCAAAAAAAAACAAAACGACGCGCGCAGGTTTCCCCCCGGCGCGGCAGCATCTGCGCGCTTTCGCAGCTGTGGCGCCGTTTTAGAGTTTACGGCTGAGCCTCTCCCGATTCAGAACCGCGAGAGCTTCTTGAGCACCTTCCGAAGCCTCAAAAGCTGGCCGGGTAGGCCGAGAACCGGAATGTGGCCAAAGTTGTGGACGCCAAAGGAAACCGCCAACACACAATCTGTCTCTTTAAAAGAGTACATCTGGTGCAGCGATTGCGGGAGCGGCGCTGCAAGAACTCAACACCCTTTGTCGGGTCCATTCAGAGAACCCCCCACATGCCCTCCCTCCACCCCACTTCTACAAGCATCCCCATACAGTCAAGGCCGTTGATGGACATCATGGGAAGCCCTGTATGGGCCGGCCCTCATATGGACCCAACCTTCCAACTAGTCAATCGATTCCTACGAACCTGCGCACATGACCCATCCCTGGTTTCCCTTCAAGGAAGGGATCCCAATGTGAGGAACACTGCCGATGGAAAATGACTTCTAGGCATGGTGCGTGAAGGAAATTGGGTGTCAACATGATCCGGAAACAAAAAAAGGTGGCAAGGGTCGCCAGACGCTTTCCCTTCAACCCCATCCAAAAAACAACTCGTCACCATTGGCTGTGAAAATCCAGCTCTTCTTCTTCTTCTTTTGTGACGGGTTTTGCACGGAAACATACCATCCAAGCTGGTCGCCAAGACACCGGCTGCGTGGCCGAGGCCAAGTGGCGACACCTCGACGCCCATGTTCCCAGATCTCTTCTGGTTGGCAGACTGATCCCGAGTTTGAGACGCACACCTATGGTTCCAAGGTGAACAAAGGCATTCCTGAAGAGTTGGGCATCTTGTGTTGCTTGCAGCCAGCAACCAGTTCTCCAGGCATCATTTTCGACCTGGGGCCAGGACTAACCCTAAGTACAAAACATTCAAGTGTCTCTTCTTTTTGAGGGCACCTTTGGATTGGCTTAAAAGGGAAAACAGAATGCAACTGCCCATTTGAAGTCCCCCTCGAAGCGAAGAAAACGAAAACTGGGCCGCCGGCAGACCGGCACGTCCTCGCGGGTTCGAGAAGCCGATCGCAACCCTTCGGATTTTCCGAAGAGACGCGCCTGAGCTGCCTGAGTTGACTGGCCCGAAACAGCTTTAGCTTGAGCTTGGGCTACAAAAATGAATCTTCACCAACTCCGCAGGTATCACAGGAGAACACCTGTCATCACAAGGCGACACCCATGGTTTCCTGCAAAAGTATAATTTGCCATCCACCGTCCCTTTTGCGACGGGTGGACCTGATAACAGATCCTTCAAGGGCGAGGGGGGTGAGGGGGTGGCTCTGCCTCTAGGAATCTTTACCTTGGTAGCTGAAAACTGGAATTCCCCGCTAAGTGTATAGGCTGCGTGTTCCAAAGCGTCACCTTTCCTTCACATCCCGGCGCTGTGAAATGGACAGGTATATTCCTGAAGGGCTTATGCCAAAACCCAGACAGACCCGAAAGGCGGAAGGCATGCTTCAAAGAACTGGCCGTGGCGTGGGGATAGTGGGGGAGGCATCGTGATCCCTGGAACATTGTCTTCTTTGGCATTCCGTGGCAGAATGGCAATCAGCAATTGCATACCCAACCAATTGGTGCTGGAGATTTCCCATGGGTGGGCCACAACTGAGAGTTCGTCTGCTAACTGACTTCTACTTGCAGGGGAGTGTTTTGAAGGGCAACAACAAATCAAGCCCAAAAATCATACACGTCCAAATTGGGAGTGTGCCTTTGGTGTCCCTTCTGTACCCGCCAAGGGTAAGAGGGAAACCAAACAGCCCCAAGAAGAGCATCAGAACGCGTGCCATCCCGTGCCTCGGGCTGCTCAACCCAAAGCTTGTAGGGGATCCCGGCCTGGCGTCGGCGCCGGCTCGAGAAAGTGGAGGAAGCCAAAGGTTGCGGCACTGGTTCTTAATTTTTAACCCCGGATTTTTTTAAAGGTTGATTCATAGGGGGGGTGTCCCCATTTTGGTGGGGATTCATCACTTTTAGAGGGAACACCCCCTAATCATGGGACGGGTTCATTAATCCTGGGTCAACATTAGGATTTTGAGAACCTTTCGGGCCAGCCAGGAAGGCAACAACCGAAAGCGACTGCCCTGATCTGTGGCAGCATGGGCGCACCTCTGATTTCTGCCTTTATTATAAAAATATACTCAAATGGAATTTGATAAGGAAATAATCAAATGAGAATCACACAGACAAAACAAAACAAAAAAGCATACAGACACTTTCGCAGGAGGTAGCCACTCAGTGTGCCAAGAAATATGGGAGAATGGATTTGTGTTTTTGAACTTTTGGTCCCGTGTTTTTGGTTTTATGTGTTGTTGGTTTAGTCAAGGTTGTTTTGGTTTGTAGTGTTGGGCAGGGCTGATCCAGTGGATATGTGTCTTAGTGAAAGGAGTTCCTAATCCTACCTAAATGTTCAGCATACAATGGAAGTTCAAGTTGAACTCTCTTTTAATAACGATTCTTTAAATGTGTGCGATGTGTGTTTTGGAAATGAACGCAAATTATAATGTGAAATAGAATAACACGTATTTAGATAATAAATTAGAAAAGACTTATGATCGGATAATGTCCCTATCAAATGCTACTTAAACTCTACTTGAAAGACTCTATTTGTCAACAATGTCTATCTAATGTCTAGACTTACTATTGGATGTCCAATAGGACTCGGTATAAGTATTTCCTTATTGGGTCCGTGTTAAAACTCTAATCAGATTCTACTTTATTTCAAAGGGCGGCCGTTGGTAAAGATGCGAATTTAGTTTTAAAAACGCTGCAGTGTGCCTACGGTAGTGCTGTGGGCTAGGTAACAACACTGTTTTGGGAACTCTGAATCATTTCCTTATGAAACTCTACTGTTTAGCTTTATCTACTTTTGCACAATATCAAACTATGCGACATAATGTTGATTCATAATGACTCTATTCAAAATCACATCTACACAAGAGTTCCTTTCCAATAACATTTGTTTTTGAGAATCTGCGGGCACTAGTGGCTCCCCGCTTTCTGTTGTTCCAAGCTGGTTTGCAGAGCGACTTTTTTGCGCAAAGATCACGTATTTTTGTGAGGTCTGATTCTAGCAGCTTCAGTCACGAGGGCCTGTTGTAGATCGTGCAGGTCATGTACCCCACATCCCTTCATTTTCTGGTATTGCTGGAGATGCTGGCTGGTGATGCTGGCTGGTGATGCTAGCTGGTGATGCCGGGGATGCTGCTTGGTGGTGCCCATGCTGGGAGTGCACATTTTGCAATATGTTGATCTGCTTGTGCATGCAAGTCTTTATCTCCGTGTTTTTGGTGGGATTTGTGTAAGTTACAGTCTTGTCTATTGTTTGCTTGGGATCCGTATGTGGCAAAGAATTCTCTCCAGATTCCAAATCTAAGATAGAATTCCAGCAGGATTTGAATAGGTATGCCGTTATTGAGTCCTATCTAAATCTAATTCGAAATTGAATTGTTCATTTTAGAGCAGCCGTTGGCGAAGATGTGAAATTAGTACGAAAACTGCTACAAAACACTGTTTTACAACTAATTCTACACAGGAGTTCCTTTCCAATAACATATGCTTTACAAATCAGTCATGTCAACACAATGAACCAGCACGGAGTTGCTTTCCAATTCAATAGAGTCAACACGTCAACGCAATGAACGAGCACGCTGGCATCACCAGACAAATCACCAGTCAGCATCTCCAGCATCCCTGAATCCCCAGCACCCCCAGCATCATCTGAAACAGCTCGCGACTAGAAAACTGCTACGTAGGATCAGACCTCAAAAGCAACACAAGTATTTCCAAGCAAAATCTGCAAACGCATCTCCAGCATCACCTGCATCAGCTCTGCAAATGTTACTCTGAGCTTGCCCCCTGTTCTTGGTTTGCTTTAACAAGCATGTATATATATATATATATTATTAATATACATTTGGGCTCAAAGCCCCGTCTTGTTTACTCTCACAGCCATCGGCTAGGAGTAGAAAACGAGAGCTATAGTTGCTTGTGCTTATAGGATAGAGAGCAGGACATCACAAACCTGATGACCTGTGAATGAAAGCAAACTGATTTTCGGGGCGATCTGAACGGGCCGGCGATTCAAAGTATGGTCATGCCCTTCCGGGCCATTTATGGAAGATGGACCATTAGCCCCTACGTATTACCTCAGCTTGCCACATGTTCAACAACCATCAAGCACCAGAAATATGTGTCAAAGGAAAAAAGCCGAGCTGGGGTCTGTAGGGAAATGAGCCAGCCAAGACTGGGGACAGTGAGAGATAGCAACGGGTGGGCCTTGAATTCTCTTTTCAGATCAAGAACGAAGGAGCTGGCCAAAATTGGTCGACCCTCCCAGCAGGAAGATCG